GTTTTCATCTCGCAGATATTTATTGTACATTTTTTTATCAGGTTTTATAAGATAAAACAGTATTGCAGTAATAATCAAATACAAACGCAATAAACGATGCTAAACAATACCAATTACTCATATGCACTTGATATGCACACACAGTTATTAAATTTTAAATACCAGAAATTTTTCATTTGTTCAACGTTTGTGTTTTTCCTTTTTCAGTGCCAATATTGATTTCTTATTTAATATCAAAATTTTTAAAAAAAGTTATTGAACTTTGTTCTTATTTGTACATTTATATAAATAAAATCGACTAGCGAGCAAGACACAAAGTAGGTTTAAAAACGTTTGACAGTTTCCTAAAAAGACATTCAATCTCGGCGAAGCCAAAATTATCGTTATTTTTTATCTACATCCACTGCGGACATGTTCAATATCCACAATATACAGTATCGAGCGCCATCGCGCGGCGAGTCTCAAACAAATTATCACACCGGTCTGCAATGTTAATAGAGACGCGCACTTTCGCGAGGATGCTGGCACATACATGCACTCATTGCCTATACCGTGTTAACGTAATGGCTGGTTTCTTTTCATCACAGCTATTAGGATAAAGCAATTTCCGTTTATGCGTCAGAGAGCGAGCTACTCCGCAATACCACACTTTATGGAGAACGATATTCACGCCGCATAACCGAGTGAAAAAAGAGAACGCTTGGTCAGATGCATTTGAATTACATTTAGGTGATTCAGTTACATGCGAGAGTTAGTATTTTATTTTTTAAGAGAAGTTGTATAAGATTTGTAAATAGGACATTGTAAGTGTATTGAAGTTGAGGCATTGTTTTCAGTTAATAGAAGTTAAAATGAGAGCACAGATATTTTTATATTCAAGTGAGAAATGATTTAAACATATCATAGGACAAATATGTGATATTCTTGTTCTCCATTGTATGTAGTTCGAACATTGTCGCCGATTTATTCGATTCCTATCGAAATTCAAAATTGAAGCCGATGTGCGTGTAATATACTGCTCAGATCTTCGAATAAGAGTTGCAATGCCATTAGTATTAATCGAGTCCATGTGTTCAAATATTTTTTCATTCATTTACTTTACGAAAATACGCCTTCTTTACGTATGTATTTCTGAAGTGTTGGTGCTCCAAAGAAAACAAACAATCACACAAGAGCGTAACATTCAAATTTCATGCACATTGTGAAATGGATATACTTCCTAATGATAGGATTTCATCCTGTATGGATCGAGTTCATTTGTAGTTTACTAATATTCAGGGTTGGTTAGCCGGCGAAAATTGTAACAATGATTTTTCTAATGACATCCTACAGCTGTACTCCATCATCATTGTTCTGTACTAATGGTATTTAACAGCAGTCGACATATAGTTCATAGCTAGTTTAAACAGTTTTGGTGCAGTAGCAAATTGATAAAATCGGTTGCCGATTGAAGGCATTGGACTTGGAGTGATAAAACACGAGTACATACGTTACGATGGTTACAAACTGGAATCTCCCAAAGAACATCTTCTGTAGTTCACAAATTTGTTTTGAAGCACTGAGATGTTACCTTCGAGGCTTATACTTAACCAAGCCAAACAACAGTTTCTAAGGGCTCATTTCCAAACTTGTTTGTTTGATATATCCTAATATAGTCAACAGCAGTGAAGAATAAATACATCAATGAACGGTAAAAATTACCAAATCTTGGGGTGGTTGGGCTATGGTGGTTGGTCATGTGAATAACTGCTTTCATTGTCTAATCCACGCTGTTGGGGGTATCTCTTCTCAGAATATTCCAAGATATTACACAAATTCATGAGAATGCAATGACATCACTTGAGGTTACCTAGTGTGACGTCATCAAATTTGAATCCGTACTTCCGGAATAATATTCAGCATACGCTGCGATGAACACGCGGCTTTAATCCAAGTACATTTGTTCTCAGGCACGCATATATATACTTATTACCTTTCCCCAAAATAATTATTTCATAATTTCTATATGGGTATTTCTAGCATGTTGTCACATGGCAGATATTCAAATTCACTGATTTATTCAACGACAGAGGTAATCCGGCCATACCGCTAAGGAACATAATTGTTATATATATATATGAAAATTATCTAATGCAATTAAACCACGTAAACGCATACTGTGCTGAATAAAATCTCCAGACTGCAATCTGAGTCATGTCATAGCAAATCAATGGTGACAGAGCGTCAGTGCGTTGAACTGTCCAGCTTCCGTTCTGACTATAAGTCTCGGTTGAATGTTGCTCATATTACATTGAATTCTAGCTGTCTTGCTAAAGTCAATTATAAAAGAGTACTAATGCGTCGTGATGATTCCCCTGTGAAGTTAAACGCGCCAAAATTAAGATTATCATTCAATTGTTTTCAACCCCGATTCGTTTTGATATGAACGCTTTTCCGTCATTATGACAACGAAGAAGTTGAAAATTTGATGTAGGCTTTATAGTTTACACACTAACATATTCTAAACTAGAGTAACAAGCATTGGCGCAAAATATTTTTCGTTTTATATACAGTTGATATCACGAGAAGTTAACTGCCATTTTAAATGAGTAAGTAAAACAATTTCATCTCCAATCTCCTGAGCCGCAGGATTCCATTCCAGCTATAGATATAGTCGCATGCGAGTTTCAAACATGGTTTTGCGTCACCGGCTTCCGCCGACAAAATTGCTGCGTAATTGATCAATAGATAGTTTTGCAATGGCGTTACATATTGTATACAATGTACTCACTATTATACTGGATAGAGCAGTAGACTGTGTCTCTCCGGTATGAAATTAGCAATGACATACTGTGAGATTTAACTTAATTCAGGGACAAATTACTTAGTGTAATAATATAGATGTATTCACAAAACTTAGTCAGATAATTTGAACACGCGGAAGTTGCACAATATAGACGTGGAGTATGGTATAACGTAGGTCATTCAGTTAGAGTTATTAGCTTCGTGTAGCATGACCTCATAAAATCATTTATTTTTATTAGTACGGAACATTCTGTTATAGTTTGGTTATAGTTTGTTAGTTGCAACACTCTGGACCGTTTATTACCATGCTGGCAAGGGTATATCATGCCTTGTTACCGCTAGTACTAATTTATATTTCACAGTTTCCTTATCTTATGCCACCAACACAGGAAGATATATATTCCAAAAGTACCCGTACAATTTGAAATATATATCTATTTCTGCTGTGGCGAGTCCTATTTCTAATTTTCCATTTCCAGTTTAGAGACATACTCATGTATATAGGCTATTCAGTTATTTGTAAATCCCATAAAATATAAATGGATGAACGCAATACTTAATATGAAAAGAAATATTATTTATTGTTCGTTACTATTTTGTTCATAAAACAAGGTATAATGTGCAGGTAAAGCATGCTTCGTAAAAGATTTCTTCGGTGCCAGGCTGATGGTCCATTTTCATTTTTCTAAGATCACATATTAATTTTCAGGTATAATGTTATTTCGATGCTGTACATAGGTTTAAAATGTCTAATAATATTCACTTGTATATAAAATTAAAAAGATTATTCGATGTCATACGATGTCAGTGCCATCATGAAGTCGAATCGATATTAAGATTTCGCGGAAAAACGACCGTGGAATGTTACTTGAATGATTTGTATTGCTAAAAGTTGGTTTTAAGCTTTGTTCAACAATTCCACTTATTAGTTTGTTTATAAATTTTGGGATATATGTTGTGATATATACCATTGGGAAATATACGCAAAAATATAGATACCCCTAAATGACTGCATTTGCTGAGAATTGTGTTTGTCACACTTGATTATGCTCCCAATTGTTAACTTGTGCTAATCATTGTAAAGATTCTTGCTGCTGAATATGACTTTATTATTTTTCTACTATTTTTCCTTATCGCCTCAACTTCTTGCCATTGTTTTTTTATTGTGTCTTTTATCCGGTGTTTTCCCATATCTGGTGACGTTGACTGCGTCTGCAAAGCAATAATTGTGATTTATCGATTAGTTCAGTGTTTCATACATTAGTGAAGATTTAAAAATCTGCGTAGATATATTAAGATTTTGTTTGCTTTTTTTCTATCAGATGTATTATACCCTTTTTATAAGGAATAGTTTTCTATACTTAGTATGGACAGCCAGTGGCGTATCTACGTAGAATGGCGCCCATGGCAAAGTCTAAAAATGCGCCCCTTGATAGTTGTTTGACAATTTATAGTGACTCTTACTGAATTGAGGTACTTGTACGTTATTATTTGAGTAAAAATACGAGTTTCAATTATTCCCAATCTGAAATTATTTTCTTGAAACCCTTCATGATTAATACTTTTTTGCAGCCTTTGCGCCCCTGCTCAAACGGCGCCCATGGCACGAGCCATGGCTGCCACACCGTAGATACGCCACTGTGTACAGCAATGGATTCATAGATTTTTTCTAACCCAAATAAATATGTTGCACTCGTGTTGTTGAAAAAGGTTATGCGCAGATCAGATCAGAATGAAAATAGTTGAGATGCTAAAACATGTGAAAACCGTAAAATAACGAGATGTTGCGATGCTGTGACTCATGGCCGTATCACTGCCTTCATTGGTGTAGTGGTACGCAGTAAGCAGAGAGGTATATACATAAGTTGTGTGGAGTGAGCCTACCAATTAGTATGCCCTTTTATAATATTTGCATCATTAGTAAATATTACTACCAATTACAAAATGACTCTTTAAACTTTACCGGAATTATTGCCTTGATGAACTCAGAATCACAGATAGATTTAGAGAATATTCTAATGAAGAACGATTGCGGTATTTGCAATATATAAACCTATATATATATATATAATATACATATGCATTAATGTGTAACCTCACAAAAAGGGACTGAAATGCAATCAGACTCCTAGTAGACCTAAAATACGAACGATTGTATTATAGCTGTTAAAACATTTTACTTACAGGGTATGTTATGTTTCTGTATATACTAAAAAGCCACTTTCCTAACTACAATACGGAGTTTAGAAAATATTGAGACTTGGGCATGCTCAAATTTGGGGCGCAGCAGCGCAAAAAGAAGGATAATAATGACACCGTCAAACTGAGAGGATCCCGTCCAGATAATCGGGGTGATAATGGGGATGACCGTCCTTCGTCCGTGGTATATAGTGGTTCAAGCCAAAATAATCAGAAAAACAGAAGACCAACTAGTTATATCGGGAATAGTCCTACACCCGGAGATACAGATGATGAAAGAGAAAATACGCTATCGTCGTATGCTCCACACGGCTTCCACGGGGTTGGCCAAGACACGGTTGTGAGGCCCAGGGCCGTTACCGATGTCACAGCATTTATCGGTCCTCCACTGAAACCGAGTTTGAAGTCTGTATCATCTTCCCCAAATTTTGATCAAAACCTAGGAAAGATGAAACTAGATAAAGACAAGGATCGCTATTCAACAGCTTTCATATCTGGAGGTGAGTGGATTGACGACAAATACTATTCTCATACATTTACAATTGTTAAAAAAACATAGGCTACCTCGCTAAATTATGACACGCTTAATTCAGTACGTATCTAGCTGCTGAATATTTTTGAAGCGTTATCTTGGACAACAGTGGGCAAACAGCGCGAGAACCATGTGACTCGTGAGAGTATTCATTGGGACTCTGAAAAAAAATATATATGTTGTCGCAATTTGGATAACTGTAAAGGTAATAACTTTTGGCTCAACTGTCGGCATCATCGCCTAATTGTCCTCCAAAATTGGTAAAATGCAACAGATAGGCTACAATGCAAAATGAGATGACGAACTGTCAAACATTAGGTTCAGTGATTGGTCGATGAATTGAAATGGACGAGATAAATCAGAAATATCATATTTTTTTTAGCTATACTTTTGGGGAGTAAAATATTTAAAAAACATTTTGAACTAGGCATTGATAGAATGGCCTCGTGGCTCTAACATGAAAGCACGCGCACGCTATTGCTAGTGTAATCAGATGCCTAAATACGAGGGATCATGAGCGAGCAAAGATTCAGATATGACATGGTTTCATTCGTCGTTGACATCTGCGTGCTAGATTCTTCAACGAGTAAATAAACGTCTCTGAAATTATTAAATTCATCGGCCTCCGGTATGTCAGAGAGGATTGTATCATGTACTAGTCTATCTAAGACAAAAAATATCTAGTCAAAACAAAAATTAATCTTTCAAAACGAAATAACCCACAAAGAATGATTTTACTCAAAAAATTCACTCCCTGCTTCCGAGTCCATGGCAGTCCGCAACTTGCAAAATATTTTTACGACTTGATTAGGGGTCAAAGGTTACGCAGCCCAGCCTAAGTGCATTTGCCTTGTTTATTTATGGATATAAATTGGCATAACTAGCTAGGATTGGTTTTTAGGACACACACTACATTTGCTGATAGTCTACCATTCGCGATATCCTGTGTGCGGTAGTTTGTATACCCGTATTCTACGCTAGTGTTTTAATACCGTATGCTGGTATGTCATCGCTATGATAGATTGAGTCGGTTTGCGGTGTTTATAGATAAGTTACAAATATTTCCGTTATTGTAGGCTACCGGTACCGGTACTATGTTTATAATAGTGTTGACTTTTTCTCTCTCTCTACTTGTAAGCATGACCGTCCCGATACGGGTGAAGTTCATACAGTCATAGCATGAATTTACGGTAGAGATTTCAATTCGGAATTCTGTAACTAGGATGCCCAGTGAATTCTCGTGTTAACTTAGCAAAATTTACCCATCCTTGGATCTATACACCTTTAAAAATAATAATTAGAGGATGAATCTATAACTGCAGAAAAATCAATTCCCTAGTCTAAATACAGAAATATGATAACTGATTGATATTCCAGTATTCCGTTCCATGCTGATAAAACAATGAATAATTGGGGTCTAGTATAGTTTAGTACCACAAGTACTTCCAGTTGGCGTATCAAAACGAATTTTGCATATGTTATTCCTAACCCCCATCTGACTATGCCATCCAAAAATTACGTCAATACGACGTCACAAACACGACATAGGGATTGTCAAAGTATAATTACGATCGCCCGAAATAGCATCTGCGCCGCCGATAACGAACTCGGTAACGCCGGCGATCTCTCTCCTATCGTGACTGGAAAACAAGAGAAATAGCTTGCTGGATTTCGGGTGATCATCTGTGCGTTTTGGACGACCATCCGCATACTTTGGTGGGCCTTATTACGCCAATGTGACGTCGAAATGACGTAATTTTTCGGTGACGTAGTCAGGTGGGGGTTAGGTGTAAGACTTTTTTCAAATTGAAAAGTGAACCCCCCTCCCAAAAAAAAAACATACTGCCGTATACAGATGTACCAGTACCTACCTACCAGTAACTTGGACCAGTAGATATACACTGACAGACTGATACTTTGATATACAACTATTGTATCAAATGTAATTCAAACATCCATTTTGTAATTAACAGAATCTTTTCGAATACCTTTGTCTGTACTCAATGATTGGTTTGCTTTGATAAGAAACGACACTAATAAAGGTGAGATAATTCTTTACGTGACATAGCCTATTTTTGCTCATTCAATAATCATCTGTACAAGCAGGCACTGATAGATAAGGAGCTACTATAGTCAGATAGTTGAATCTTTTTGGTTACTCAATTATGCTGCCACTGGTGAGGTAGTACATTAGTAAGTGATGAGATTTGAACCCAAGGTGTGTAGCCCACAATGTCATCATAGTTGGTCAAATACTCTACCTACTGAGCAACTGCCCACCATGCCCATGTTCAGGGATGTGTCTATAGGGGACCGTAGGGGCTGCCACTTCAGGCAGCAACTTATAGGGGTGAGTTCGTTACTCTGTTTTGATGATTTAAACGAAAATAATTCAAACATTTCACTCTTACTCAACCTTTAATTTACTTATTCTCACGTATGACATCCATAATTTGTTTAGCCCCCATATTATTTTTGCAGTTAAGTAAAAGGGGCATCATTATCAGAACCTCGCCCCGGGCAGCAGAAGAGTTGACGCGCCCCTGCCCATGTTTCAATTGCAGTATTGTTGTTTCTTTACTGGTAAAAACAGTGGGATTTTCATATTACAGATGATGTGCATTTTTCTTATGTTCCTAAATTTCAGTACTAATTATTTTGCCTAATTTCCTATTCCTTTTTTTCGGATAATAAAGCTCCTCGACTGAAGATAGTAAATCTCGAAACCCAGGAACTCCCTCCTAATTTGGAGGAGGAACCTCTTGACCCTCCAGCAGCTAGTGGTAAGATAATTATATTTTACAAATAGTCGATAGATATTATTTTATTGATGTAGTTTTACGTTATTACGGAGGAAGGTGAAAAAAAATTTGAATGAAGAGGGCTGTTAATTATGAAGTGCTATCATCACTGACTTTAAAATTAAAAATACACTCAATTCTTTGTTTTTGATTGAATGTAATGGATTTTTTCATTACATTTTTTACACTACAAAGTTTTGCCTAAAACAAGTTTTTCTTCATGGAATTTTCTGTCAATTTTTAATGTTCAGGATTTTGATAACAATTGATTTATACCTCATCATTTAAGAGGTTTTAATCTTTCTAGGGCTTTCAAATAATTTTTTTATTTTTGGAGAATGGGAATATATTTTCAAGTACACAATATGCCCAAAGTGCTTAGCTCTTTAAAAAAACATTTTTTTGCATATGATTTATCAAATATATTGTTTTATTAGCACTATTGAAAGTCTGCTAGAAATGTAGCCTCTTCTGTGGTACAGTGTTATAAAATATTAATAATTTTATTATTGGAATACAGTGAGTTGACCAACTGAAATGGAAATAATCAAGTTGTCAAATAGGGCAGTAAATTTGTTTTTATGTTATTAAATATAGGTACAAACTAACATTGATATTTTAAATTTTTTGCTGCAATAAAATAAAGTATCTATGATATTGGCTGGGCTATAATGCATGATATGTTTTTGCACAGGTTATCTTCATCCATTTTCAAATGATGGTAGTTTTTCTGGGCCTGGTTTAAAAAGGAGAGAATCATCACCTGCGTCTTCTCATGCGTATGTAGTTTTTTTATTATATAATTTTTTTTACCTTCGAGTGAAATTATTTGGAAAGTGTTGGTGATAGTGATTTACACATTATCACCTTTATTTATATTTGGGTGATGAAAAATTTCCAATACATGATTATGCATGAATCTATTTAACATCAAAAATTAAAGTTGGCATCTGTGTAGAAAATTACTTCGATGGAAATATTTCAAGAATACCTCCTCGTAATTCCCATCAAATTGGTATCAAATTGATATTTATATAGAGGGGATATTGGTGATTTAGTCCATATGTTTTGTCAGTTTAAATTCTATGTTATTAACATTTATATTGAATTTCAGTAATCATCTTATTTTTAATCGGAATAGTATATAACATCAAAATTTACATCTGAAATTCTTCAATATACTGATATATTTATTTAAAAAATGTATTAAACTTAAATGAAAAAGGGGATATTTGGTGATATCTTGGCTATTATATTTCTCATATTTGCCAACTTTAATGTTAGTTCACGCATGTATATTATTGAATTTTGATTGTTCGTCTTTCACTGACAAATCACAATTACTAACATGTTTGACTAATATAACAGTATACGTGAAAAAGTTTTGAGCAAGCAGTCACACGAACAGTCTGAAAAGAAGAAATTTGGTCGACCACGATCACCAAGAAATAAAACTCACATCGGAATCAGCTTTGATCCCCTTCACCCTTTTCGCACCAGTGACCCCCTTCAAGATGTCGGTCTTCATCATATCCCAGCAATAAGTAAAAAAGCATCATCAAATAACTCATCAGGCCGATCTTCCCCATCATTTTTTGGTTTTGTGAGGAAGCGTAATAAAAGTAACTCACAACGATCCCCCTCACCTCAGCCTCAACTAAAAAGCCCCACTCAAGATACAGTTGACTCAGAGAAACTTCATAAAGGTCTTGTGGCACAAAAACGTAAAGATTACGAAGATACTCTGAAAAGGAGTCAAAAAAGGCCCCAAAGTTCCTCGTTTTCTTTAGTTGAGTTGTTGGAAAAAGAGCAGATTAGTATAAATCAACCTGATTATGAAGAAGGTTACCAAGGCCTTGTAAACAGGTCTCGCACAGCTTTCGAAAAAGGGTATGTATATCGAATAAAAGCATAATTCAAAATATGGTTTCAATATGGAAAGTGTCGTTTAGGAAAGTGTCGTTTTTTAAATATTCACTGAATGGAGCCCGCATTTTTCTGGAGTAAAATTGGCTGTATCATATATTAGGGAGGCGGACAACTCGACTACACGGACAACTCACCAGAGACAACTCGACTCTGGTGAGTTGTCCGTTTAGTCGAGTTGTCCGTCAGCCATATATTATACTAAACACAACTGATGATGTATTGCTGTTGAGCGTTTTTTTGTTTGTCATGGTATGCCAAAAAATTTGCACAATAGCAGAAACGGTCTTTACTGAGAGTCTGAGACATCAAAATAAAAATTTGTCCAAAAATCTTTGGATTAGTAAAATAAATTGCTTCTTTATGGTCTTATGTTTTGATATTTGACAACTGATTTGCATTTCCTGACAATTAACAGCACAAGAATTCTATATACATTTTATTATTTTTAATTTCATGACTAATTTGGTGACTAATTGTTTTCAGTCTTGTAAAATCTAATATTCTGCACTGTGAATTAATTACTTAAATAACATTATGATTTATAAATTGTTTTTGTTTGAACGTTTGGTGTGATGTGCTTATGTAATTACAATGTAACTAATTTGAGATTGGTACTGATTATAATAAGTTTGAGAATGACTAGAAAAGTGTTTTAGTCTTTGATTGACTTGATTTTGAGAATTTATGTTAAATATTGTTTTATTATTCATTTAGTTAGGATTGAGGGTTATATATTTTACATTTTGAGTAAGTATAGCACAACTGGTTCGAATCGCTGAGAAATTACACTGTTTTGCTAACATCACCTATGCTTTATTTATCTTCAACATGGATATACCTGATGGGTAATTGGGTATCATGTACATTATTGAACGACTGTTAAAAATTGTTAATTATTTGTTATATTTAGTCCGAGGTCACCTGTTGCACAGAGAAGATTTCCAGCGGAAAGTAATATCAAGAGAATCAATTCAGCTCGTCCTTATTTTGGAGCAAGTCGTAAGTGTTGTTCTCACTACATTTTTATTCTTCTATACTTCAAGGTTGGCTAATATGTATATTGGTTGTGCTCAGGGATGTTCATATCCTATTAATCCGATAGAAATGTGTCTTAGTTCAATTTAAATTTTTTTTAGTTGATAAGTTTAGTAGTATAAGTGTATTAGTACTTATAATAAAATCATGATATGTGTTTATTTGAGCCATATTAAATTTGAAATAAATGATAATTTCTGTGCAAAGATGGTGAATTTTTCATAAAAATGCAATCATTTCAATTACCCGAATTCCTAAAATAATTGTTTAATCGATTGTACATGTTGTTAGAGATAATTACTTGGGACAGGGTTTCTCAAACTGGGACCTCGTCATGGGTCAGTTTTGTGGCGGCCATGAGAAAAGGCTTTAGTTAGGTACCATTTGTGATGACCATTTTAATTTGAAGTAAATGGGCTGTGAATTGTTTAATTTTTTGACTATAATGCATTTATTCTTTTATTATCATTTATTGGCTTTGTATTCCTTAACATAGCGTATAATATAACTGGTTGAGACACATTAAAAGAAAAATTGGGTATTTTTGAATGTCACATCACAAGTCTTTGAAATGGGGCCCACGTATCTTGAAAGAGAACCATTGACTTAGGACATTCATAGGGCTTTATAGCGTAGTAGTTCGTACCATAATTTACTAAATGTCAGTTCCACTCAGAAAGTGACTTTTTTATACACTAATTTTTGTTTAAAAATATAATCTATATTCTTCCCTAAATATTTGTGATGAACATATTACAGGTGATCTACAACAGCCAAGTCCTCGCAATCCACCTAGAAAAGACAGTGGTGAACATCCATCTATAGAAGAGGAAAGTTATATATATGCCACAGTAAATAAACCAAGGACTCCGAGTAGCTCCTCTTCAACTGGATTTCATAGTCCTGCATTTTCACCTAGCGTCGATGTAAGACCAGTTATATGTTTAATATATTTCTTACAGTTAGTACTGGTTATTGAAAGCTACTAAAGTTCATCTGAAGGTTACATTTTTATTATAAATGCAGACATCTCTGCCTATTGCGTCAAGTATTGATCAAGAAATGTAGACATAGCCAAGCATTCCAAGACTGGTTAGACAATATACAGACCTTCCTTATGTACACATTTTTTTAATTTTTTAGTTGATTCCTGTTGTGATTGTGTACATGCGATATTTGTACTATAATATATAGTTAATTTCAATTCACTTTTTGCAAAATTTTGCAAAAATTTTGTTGAAAAATTTGATGGGATTTTGAATGTCTAATAAGAGCAATATCTTAATTGCAATCGCCTTGAACATTCTAAAATTTAAAAATACTTTTATGGTGCCCTGCATTTATATATCTTTTACAAATAAAATTTTGAGTTGATTGTTTTTGTGACGAATAAAAAATGTTACTGAAATCTATATCTCAGTATTCCAAATATATTCCTCTTTCTCAAAATATTGCAAACAATACATGGTGAAAGTTGCATACCATACTAATTCAATCTTGGTATCCATTTTGACACTTGACAGAAAAGTTAATAAAATGAGAATGCCCAAGGCCATAATTGTTTTCGAAATGCAATGCGACAAATGACCTAATAAATCATATTGAACATCACTACAGTCGCAAAATTGTTTTTTTTTTGCTTACATCATTTTGCACACGATTTGTGTGATATAGACAGAGGTGCTGCTGATGAAGGTTTTTAAAGTTTATTGTTGTTCTTGTAAGGTCTATAGTACTGAGGTAATGTTTGCTGTTCAAATACTTTTTCATATCCCATTTTGATGGGCTGTGTGAAAAAACATGCTTTAGTAAACAAAATTAATTTTTTTAGTATCAGATTTTCATTTACATGACTCCTGCAATTCGTCCAGTGATTGTCTTATAATGCAGTCTCTCATGTTTGTAGAGATAATCGTTTGAAAGTGGACAATGGTGATCTAGCTTGCCCAATTTGTTACCCTGTTCTTTATATGATTCTTGGAAAGTGTCAAACTCAACTTATGTCATATGACAAATGTTACTTTTGAATTTGAATTTTTTTTCAAAGTATCTTCATCTTCGCCATACTATTACTAGCTACTACTAGTTACTATTACATTACATTAATTAAGTCTTATTATATTAACCCCTATGTTCCTGAACATAAGTCGTTAAAATGCTAGCTCGATAATTTAGCATAACAATGTACTGAATGTAGATATATATTGAAACTGTCGATGAAGTCATACTTGGTATTTTCCTGTGTTCCGATACTTCAGATGATTTCATTCTCCAGAGAAACACTATGAGATAAAATTTATGTGACTCATTTACATATTGCATATTGATGTCTAAATAATTGTTGAGACTTCAACAATCACGAAATACTGAAACAGATTTCTGGTATTCAATGAAATTGGCATAATGTATTGTGTCAGTGTTGTGACATGTTCCCATTTTTTTCATCTCTTTTTGTCCCTGTGGTTGATGAGTTACCGGAATTGTGGGACCACTTGATTTACTTTTCTAAATATGTCATTGAAGACATTGAATATGGTCATGAGAAACTTTTACGAAAGTTACATGTGAATCACAGACTGGGGAAATATGAACGAGGAGTAATTTTTCATAGTTAGCAACTTCTCTGCAGATTCAATGCCACAGAATGATTTTAATGTATCATGGAATTCCGTTACCTTATAATTTTACATTGTTTTATATTTTCAGCAAATTGATGATCCCTACTATCTGCCAAATGATTGCATGAAACTACGTTCTGATAGTTCTCCAGCACATATCAGCCATACTCCAGGTATGAATCATCTCTTAGCAATATACTAATGCTTTATATATTATATGTCTAAAGAGACAGATACACTCGAAAGTATTTTAACTTTCATATGCTATAAGGCAGGAACTTTTTATTAAACTAATTCGAACCAATTCAGACTAATTTGGCTTTGAAATTAAATCCTTCATTATTTCAAGTTTAAGCTTATTGATAACATCCTCATTTAGGGCCTAAAGTTGAGAAGATCTGTTTTTATTTATATATGTCATATATTAATAATATCAATTAGAAAAATTCTTACAAGAATTTGCATAGGATTTCAGCTGACATCATAGAACAAGTTTCAAAAATTTTCAAATTTGTAGACACACTATGCTGTGCTCTCAAGATATGATATCCTATATTGTGTGCCTGTGGTCAATAACATCAATAATTTTGGTTGGTTGTATTTGTCCATCCAATCCGCATTCATGCCGGCATATTTTTGAATCGAATTTGTGTGTCTACATTATTTAATATTACCATTTAAACGCCCTGGATTATTTGTCCAAAGGTAATCGTTAACCAGGCAATCTAAAGATGGATATTTAGATGGCCGTGTTGTTTAGCTATAGCAGCATATGGTTTTTGGTAGATATACATTTCTATGTATGTGCACAGCATTAGTAATGCTAAATTATCACAGATATCAGTTTAGATTTCCGTTTTTTTAGGTAGTGTTTCATCTTAATTAAGTTCTGTGAAGCTTTCAGATACATCGGAAAAATGACATAGTTATTGAGGATTCTATAATCATTTTGCTTGGAGGATTAAATTGATATGACAAGGAAACAGGGGAGTTTAATATAAAATAAAATCAGCTGTTAATAGGAAATCCATAGGTGCAAAGGAATGGAAAAAAGATTCTGATTTACAGCAGACAGATCTCTTTAATTTGACGATATATTGATTTTTCTTATCATTGAGTGTAACATTGAGTGGGTTGTCTTTCCAGTAGCCAGTCTACTTGCCTAGTCTTAGAAAAATTATTCTTTTTAGCTTTGAGATGAAGATAAATAGGCCATTGAAATTTGTCTACTTCATCATAGTAAAAAAAACTTGTGACAGGCATTTCGTAAAGAAAATATAATATTGCTGCTGTGATTTATAAAGAGAAAGACATTTGACTCAAATATTCAGCTGTTTTTGCGATTTGCCACATATTGTGTGATCTGTCACTAAGGCGTTCCTGAATTGTGATCTAGGCTGAAGCTCGAATTTTTAAATAAAAATATGTTATGAGAACATAAAGGAAACATGAATATTTATCCTGGTTCCACATCTCTAATATCAATAATGTACTAGAACAGTGGAGTTCTCAAACGGTGGGCCTTAGATTTGATCTTGTCCGCCTCATTTTGGATATTCACATTTCTTTATAGTTTACAGCAGGGGTGGGCAGGGTTTTTAACCAAGGGGCCAAAAATTTTGCTCACTCAGACTGGCGGGCCATGTGAGTGTGACGTAAAAAGTTACATTGTATGAACAATATTTACAGTGTTACAAAGCAAAGGTGGAAATCAATAAGCCTCGTGCCAAAACTAAATCTGACCGCAATCTCAACAGATTCTTTGAGCTATTTTAGCTGAAACATCAAAATTTGATTTCAGTTTGGTTGTGGCAGCATCAGACTGGCCAGATTGGATTAACCAACTGGTCAGATTTGGCCTGCAGGCCGTACTTTGCCCATGTCTGGTTTAGAGATTGTGATTCCATCCATGTATTTTCAATGTGATTTTGGAATAAAGCGTACTTTCGCTTCACTATGTGTTATTTGTATCTTATTGTTAGCTAGCTATTTTTAAGGTGATACGTGTGAGACATGACAAATTCTGTAAAATGGGGCGCGGCCCAAAAAGTTTGAGAACCACTGTACTAGAATATCATTATTGATCATGTTTTTGAAATCTAATTTTTCCTAAAAACTAAGAACTGAAGTTGGATATCTATGTTCATTAGAGATCTGACTCAACATCTAACTTTCACAACTCACTGTTTTAGAGGAAGTGAAACTAGGTTGTTATAGTCAAAACACTTCCATTTTATATTTTCATTGTTATGGAGATAGATTTCGACAGCATTCATTAATATTATGCTGTATAGTGAAGCCTCGGTAATCGAACATAATTCGTTCGTGATTAGTGTTCGACTACCAATTTGTTCGAGTACCAAAGCTTTTTTCGTTAAAGGAAACAATGGTAATCATTTTAATCTGTTCTTACGCATTCCAAAATACCCAAAAACTTAATTATAAGTGTACCTAAACAACAATCCTTTTAACATGTACATAAGAAACATTTAACATATTAAACATAAAATATACATTTTGACTTGAACTGATGCTTGTTAAATTATCGAGAGGCAGTAGAGATGTGCGGTTCAGGTGGCGACATCTAACACAGCTGCATGCTCTGCTCTGGTGTTGGGCTCCGAGTTTCTGTTCGAGTGCCACAGCATTTTTGACTCAAATTTTTTAGTTGACTATCAAATTGTTCGGGTGTCGAGTCGTTCGACTACCGAGGTATTACGGCATTTATAATGTAAATCTTTCTGATTAATTTTTATAATATAATTCATAAATTGTGTAAAATGTTGATTATTTATAATCACTGATATTTCAAAAAGTTGCTCCTAAAAATGGCATACAGTTTCCTCTAATTTACCGTTTTTATTTTTCAGATCGTGGTAATAGTTTTGATTCAGAAGAAACTGATCCTTATACTTACTACAAACCTGTAGACTCCGTTGAGTAAGTTTATTTATTTGAATCTCTATTTTTTTCATATGAGCAAATGTCTCACTAGAACTGGTCTTTGTTGTCTTAACAATAGCCATTAAATCATCTTCATTAGCTGTTGCCAATAAAAAAAAAATAAGGCGTATTATTTTCATGTGTGTAATGGCCTAGTTGTTAATGCTTTCGGCTTATCTATGTATAGTAGATAAAGCACAGTTCAAATGGTAAATCTTTGAAAAATCTTGTTGTAATACTTCTTGGAGATAACTTTTGCTTATATTCAATATCAAATATATGAACAATTATCTGCCAACATGAATTACTTGCTAAGAGTTCGAAATTAGCTTGTCATATCAGCTTTGATTACTCTGCATGGATTCGCAGGTACGAATCTTGTGGGAGATAATCATGTGCGGAAGGATCGCTGGACTTTATACCACTGTATGGTGGTTCGTGTAACTGCTGGTTGATTAGGGCTTCCTCCACCATCAAGTCCATGTTGCAGAAACAAATAACTGGCTAACTAATATCATTCCTGGCGTGGACTGGTAATCAGCAATAGGCCATGGTATGCCCATATGATTAAATATGAAATTGGTATTATTTTATTGCAGTAATATTAACCAGTTGGATCAAGCTGATAAATTTGCTATAGGATTGGAAGAAGAACTACAAGACCAAACTGACATTTTGAATTTACATGAGCAGTTTTTTAAAACCTACGAGAAGGTGAAAATATGGATATTTGTTTTATGTACTTTCGTTTGAGTTATCAATGGTACAGTTCGCCTTATTTTCGTTTCAATTTTCATTGCCAACATATATATTATGATGCGGTATGTTCTTCCTGAATGAAAAGTTAGTTAGAGAAATTTGATTTGAGTTTGCTCATAAAAGCTTACCAAATTAAGTAAACTTGTTTAAGCCAAGCTAAATTCAATGTGCCATGTGGGAAGTTCATATACCTCAAATTTTGAAGAAAAAAAAAAGAAAGCTGGTTCTAAGCATGATAAATTTTCATCCATTCACAGTGAGTATACCAACCACTCACCAACCAGTCAAAAAAATTCTATGTGCAAGGTTTTCCCAAGAATTTATGAACTTCTTGAAGTTGATTCGATGTCGATTTTTTCTTTCTCAGAGCTTAAGAGAATCAGAAGAAGCAGAAGAATTATTGAATAAGAAAGACACAAAGTTGAAATCTAAACATTCTTTTTTGAAGAAGATAAAGGTATGTATACTTTCGTGATCTAATTTTTGTGTTTACTCGAAAACATATGTATCTGAAGTAGGGCTGGGAATTTCAGGGAAAACACTTCAACCGCTCACCGGGTAAAATTAACCGGTTTACCGCAGCGTAACGTTTTACATAACAATTTACAGTTTTAGCTTGTATCGCTCAAAATTATTTACGAAACTTCAAATATTTTCACATTTATTAGGTCCACACCAATACAGTTAGCGATATTCTTCTGAATTAAACGCCACAGGAGATAAATTTGCTATGACGTGATCATTTTTGAAAGAATTGTACATTATAAAGATGATTTGCACCTGAGATGTCAGTTAACGGTTAAAATAAATCGTAACCGTTAACCATCTGAAATCAGTTGACCGGTTAACCATTCCCAGCCGTAATCTGAAGCACAGCATATGCATTTAACACACTTTTTATAACTGGACAGTGTGGACACAAATTGGAACCTATGGTTCGATTTGCAAAATGGTTGGTTGTGTTTTTTCTCATTGAGATTGTTATTGCTGCTGTGCGAAAAATTGCATTTTCATAGACAGTATATCTTCGCATATAAGCCCACCTGCTAAAAACGACCCTAAAACAGCACATATAAGCCGACCCTACAAATCGTACGCTCTTATCGTGAGAACTTGGTTCGAGTTGTAGCTGTTGGAATTAGGTTTGCATAATGTCATTTCGTTTGAGTGCGTTCAGAGTTTTGTGCTTATAACTGAATTTTTAGTGCGATCATAGTATAAGAGTATATACTGTAACTTTTTTTTGAGTTTTAAACTCTGCTTATATGTGAGGATATATGGTAACTAACTTCCTTTTTCCATAACTAATGATCTAATCAATATCAAATGCACTACATGAAGATGGAAAAAGTTGCTAGAAGACTATTTTTTACCATTTTTTATTTCCTATGGGGCATGATATTTCACCCCATTTTGCTGTTTATAATAGGCAGACACACCTTCATATGACATTTAGTACGATTTTTTTCAACATTTGGTTAAAATTCTGTGGAAATTGCAGTGGGCGCATGACTGTCATGGTCATATATTTTAGCACTGTTCTCTTATTCATTTTATATTTATAAATATTTTTTCTTGTTCTCAGGGAACCTTAACCCATCAACCACCCTCAGTTGCAACTTCACCTCCGGTCTCATCACTCAGACCAGAATCACCACAACTCACTCAGCCCAAGTCACCTAGACCCCATCAGAGACACTCACCTTCGCCACCCCCCATAACAAAAACAGCAGCTTCACCGGTTCATAGAGGACAGGTATCTACCAATTTAACAAGAAATCTTAGTGCTCGGGAACCTAATCAAGCAAAGCAGGTAAAATACCGTTTTATTTAATTGTGAATGTTCTTGTGTAAATAACCTGAACATAAAAATAAGGTTTCTTCTTTTGTCTTAGGCTTAACCCGATTCCAATACTGACTTCAATAATTGTCATCAGCTCCCGCAAAATTTCAATTTCAGCTTCTTTCGTTTCAGTTGAAAATTTAACTTCTCAGAATTAAAGCTTCTTTCCCTCCCCTTCTAATACCAGCCATATATAAAAAGCCATATTCTTCCTCCGTGGTTTAGTTTTCTCATTGCAAATTTCAATAAATGTGTATCATAAAAGCTCGATGAAATTTCTGCCTCTGGGTGGCATTAGAGTAGCATTATTTCTTTGCTTATTGATTCTTGTTTCTTGACTAGTCAGTGATATAACTTGCAGGAACAATATATTTATAGGTGATTCTAATTCTTCAATGTTTAGGAAAAACGGTTAGAAAATCCGTTGTTTTTTTCAATACACAGTTAGAAATAATATCTCAAAATTCAACACTATTATTTTTGTAAGTTTATGGGATTGTCAAATGATTCCCTTGGGTCTAAGTGTTAATGTCAAAATGGTCAGAAAAATAGATAAATGCTATTTAAAAAGAATAATTGTGTAATTCACTTTTCTTTTAATACAATAAAGCATTTGATATGCCTTATTTTCCTTATATTAAATCTGGAAAATCAAATATTAATTTTTTGAATTCTGATTCCCTGAAAAATCAGTGTGACTACCGGTATAATTAAATTCAACAAATGAAATAAAATCTTTGGTTCGACAATTCGTACTGTTCTTTTCAGAAATGAGAGGGTGTTCATTGATAATACGAAACCTATATTAGTAACCTAACCACTATTTGTTTGAGTAAAATATTGTAATCAACTATGAAATTCCGGGGTGGAATACAATCTTTATTCTATGTGTCAAAAATATTTCGATTATTAGAACAATGCCCTACTTATGGTATCCTCATCAACCCATTTGCAACCCATTTCTCTGTATCATAGATAGCTATTTCTTATAGATTGAAGCGCTTTTTAGACCCTTAACACTCTCGAAAACCCAGGTTTTTTCAGCCCCGGCCAGACCCGCCAGCTGTTCTATTTATAAATTTTAGACCCCCCCTTTTGAAAAATCCGTCCTACGTCCCTGATAAGGCACAATGTACTTTACGTGTACAGGATAGACTGTACCATGGTAAAGTCATTAAGTCAATCTATTTTGAATAGTGTATCCCAGCTATAGCTTCTTGTAAAAGTTTCACTGATTTCTAGGATTCTCTACGAAGAATTCAGAGTGAGAAACTCACTCCTGAAAACGCAATAAAAGCCAGACAGGGCCGAACACCACCTCGTTCCAGCAATCCTGAACCGGTTTATTCTGTACTCGACAAAAGTAGAAAAAGATCGCCTGGCTCACAAAGTAAGAATATTATATTAATCCTTTTTATGGTCATGTTTGTTTAGCGCAGTGGTTTTCAACCAGCGTTCTGCAACACCTTAGGGCTCCACAGATTTTCATTTCAATCTGGAAGTCTATATTATTTTGTGTATATTGCTCAAGTATAATCAAAATAGCTGTCTGGTTTGTCGCTATCATTAAACTTGCTACACTTCCAATTTCATTTTGCCTGTATTAGATTTGCTTATTATAAAATTTATAGTTTTTACAAATTACAATGCTTCTTAGTATGGATGGATTTGTGAAAATTTCTAAATTAGATGCAGATGAATATATTTTAATTTTTTTTTTATTAATCAAAGGATATTGGGGTTTCACTTCACCAATAAAAAAAAATAGATTTTACCAGGGCTGGGGGTGGGTTAGAAATAACAATCGCTCCGGCTCCAGTTCCCGAGCTCCATTTTTCATCCCTAGAGCCATGAACAGCTTCGGTTTCAGCTCCATACCATCAATGTTTTCTGGTATTAACACTACAATGAAACATCAGCCCAAGCTGTGAAATCTATTTTTAAAGTTTTAGATATACAAATTCAACTTGAAATTAACAAATTAGTATTATAAATTGAATTTATTACAAAACTATTAATGTGAAAAATAAAATTGGGACCTCCTGTAGATATGCGCACCAAGATGGCGCACAACCTGAACTCAGCCTGTGTACCAGGTTAGGGTTCAGGTTGAGCGACATCTCGGTGCGCATACTTCGGGAGCACCAAAAATTGTATGGTTAGGAGGAGCTGGAGCCACTAAAATTCCTGGCAGCTCCATCTCCCGATCCAGCTCCATCTGGTATAGTAAGCTTGGTTTCAGTTCTGGCCTCCAGCTACACTGAAATATCACAGCTCGTTTTTCCAAGCTCAGGCTCCAGCTCTCTAGCCCTAGATTTTACAATGAATAATTCAGGTGGATTTTACAGAGTTTGGGTTGGGGTCATGGTCATGTGATGTGACTTTGGAAAAGCAGATTAATTTCGAAGCACTTTGATACTCTTGTCTTAGGACATTATGTAACTGCAGAAGGTGTAGAGCTTGTAAATGTGATGAGGGGCTTTTCCTTGAGGAAAATTAGGAATTTCTTATGTATATACAAGTATTAAATTCACTTTAAATCTTAAAGTGAATAAAATTTGCCTCACCTTTGCTGCGAAAAGGCACAAAAAAAGGGAGGGATTTATGAAAACCTTACGACAATCATATTAGGGCTAGGCAGATAATTGAACTTTTAAACTACATTGTACGAAAATCTAAATTTGTTAGGTCTTCGACAATCCACATAATATGCAACCTTATGATGATCATTGAAGAAAGCAATGCACACTGTTTTACCCAGTAATAAAAATGAACCCAACATCCAACATGCTTTCTTATTTCTTAGAAAATTCTCAATATACCGTCTGCCAGTTGTTCATTTGATTTTCCAAGAAACGATCACGACAGCGCAATATTATTACCCCGATGGTATTTGCTTTACGCTTGGTATATCACACATTTAAAATAAAAGAATTTACATAATGTTATTATTAATGCCACCGAAATTACATTTATTTTTATTTAGATAATTGGTTATTTCTGAAAGTAGTGATGTTCTAGCATGGGATGTAGATAATTTGTGATTCAAAGAGCGATTTAAATTCATATCACACTTGATCGATATTAGTCTCCAAGACGTTACAGTGCAAGACATTTGTTGGAATTGAAATGTCGAATTCTCTACATATTTCTGTTATTGAAATATCAAAAAGACATTTGATATTCACATAACAGGGTAGCGTATTGTTTTTCCATTGAGTCGGGCACGAGTAGTTCTTCGGTATTGATTTCGATATAGAAGTGTTAAGCAATCGCAGTGCGTTGGAGTTTGTGGCTCTTGGATTGTTTTTAATTTTAATTAAGAATTTTTATATGAGTCAGGTTATAAAATTTCATCTGGAACTTGAAGAAAGATTTTAGTTGTGTATAGTTGAGTGAGGCAGTCATTGGTTGGATTGATGGCGAGTCTGGGAAACCCTTCAAATTAAAGTTAGCAGAATATCGATCAGCAGTATATAATTTAGTTAATAGAATATCACTTTCGTCATGGTTTGAACTTCTTCCTTATTGATAAATGTGCCGACACACGGTGTGTTGAGTTGGTGATATTTAAACGTAATTTATCGACTTGATTGCTGTTTAATTGTGTTCGAATTTGCGATATAACACCCAACTGTTACGTTCCTCACGCAGACGACATCTTGTAGGTTTACTCAAATACAATATACCGACAATTTGTGGTGTGATTCATTGATAAATCAAACTTAGTATGGGTCTAGTTTATAGTATGAGTTGAGATAAGGTTCGAATTTTCAATTATGGGCGTAATTTTATAGGGAGTATTTGTGCGTTGGCAGCGAGGAAGGGAGTGTAGTTGCTTGTGTATTATTTACCACACGAATTGTGCAATTTCGATGACATGTTTAATATCCAGTTCGTTTTATTCGGGACAACATATGGTAACGTAGACGAGACTGGAGATTTGTAGACGTGTATTGACAAAATGGAAATGGCAGCTCCGAGTGTGGACAACGTTGGGATACTAATTTCTCTACCTTGTCGTTTAATAGTCGGTGGGTAATTCCAGGAGATTTTTGACATAGCAGCATTCAATCAGGGTTTGGTCTCGATAAATACGGGATACTACTAACTCAGACCTCACAACGTACCAACTTTCCGAATATGATATCAAGATTTATTTATTTATTGTAAAATCTCGTCTGATCGACGAAGTATCGGTTTGTCCCGGACTGGTCGGGTAATGAAAATTGGCATATTTAAAAAAATTATTATGTTATGTTTATCGCGTTCTCAGGGAAGTGGACTTTACATTGGTCTTGTATTATTCAACTGTTATACGTTCTAGTAAACTCTCAGCTTAATTTTTACGTATAATACATCAATGTATGCCTATAATATCCCGATTAACAATCCGAAAATAGAAAATATGGTCGTTTAATTATAGGTTGTGTGGATATTTCAGAGGTAATTTGTGAATACTTGGCGCCGTTTTGAATAAAATATTAATAAACTGCTTTTATGGTGGCATCATACATGCGGGAACAGCGTTCTATCTACTAAATTTTTACCAGGAAACGTAAACAAGTGCAGCGTGAAAAACTGGTTTTTGGTTTTAAAGGTGCTGTGTATGAGTAGTGAAAAACTTTTCTATTAAATGAATTTTGTGAATTTTAAATGAATAAGCTCTGAATTTTGTGTAATGTGTTTTGTGTAGCTAGCAATAGGTATGCAGCAAAATGAATGTTATTTTTTGTATCTATATTTTTTATTGGAATTCCAATATTTTACTCAGGTAATATATAATGCAATTCTATATAGCGAAGTTTCAATTTAAGTATTGCCCAGGTACCTTAACTAATTTAGGTTAGAAAACAGCCTTCAATTCAGAACAATGGCAATTGTAGTTTCAAGAGAAAAACAATTATCAAGAACAAACCATTGGTCATTACTTACGGTGATTTAGTATTATATATTATATACTTTTGTATACTGTAAATTTTTAAACCCAACTACCGTAATTGCAAAATGTAACTTTTACTGTGCAAGCAAATGTATCATTTTACTTTTGCCTAATTTAGAGTCTTTGATATTCGACACTTAATTAACTTAGGAACAATTCTGTCTGCTATCACATTTTACAATCTTGTTCATCTTGGAATTTTTTTTTTCATTTCGTTCGAACGTATACTGTTATAAACTTGCAGCACAATTACTTGCATTTTGTATAAATACTTTAATGAACGCGAATTTAAACCAGCTTGTTGCCAAGTAGAGATGTGGGTCTTTAATGAAGAGTAGCGCCTCACATATCGTGGCTGATTTTTGACTGCTTAATATGCCTTGTTATGAGCGAATGACGTGAATAGCGTCGAATATATTTTTTTTCAAATTTTACATTATATATACGCATTGTAATTTATCTGCGAAAACTGCAAAATCTGCGATAAACGGGAGCAATATTTATTTAATCGAAGCATAATTTTCGAATTCAGTTTAAGCCAACTTTTGCCAAATCCATTTCAAATTAATAGAGCGAATCGTAGAGTCATTGCTTCCAAGATAGTCCAGTTAATGATCACAACTTTTTTGCTAACATTATAGAACTTAATTGTACTCTTCTGACATTGAAATCACCTTCACCCTGCTTGGTGTTTGAAGAACCGCCAACTTTATTCAGGTTAATAGACCGTGATCCTGCGGCGAAACTGGGCTTGACTTAGAAGAAATAGTTGATCCTAAAACTTGTAAAATGGTTTAAACGAAGCGTGACGAAAAACAACAAACACTAATTTGTACATTTGCTGTGACGCGTGCCTTAGAAGGCGTATACTTGTTGGAATTACTAGTTGTCATGTTAGTCTTCGAAAGAACATAAAATTTCGACTAAAAGTAGAGTAGTTTTTTCGAAAAATATGACAATTTGTGATTTTACAAATTGATTTGATAGTTGTTATTGTTAGTTTACAAAATTACGCCGAGTTTCGACTAAAATGTACGGATTTTTTTTAACAAAATGGCTACCCAGGGAAAATGTGTTGATGACTTCCCCGAAATATTTGACATTCGTCTGCGATTATAAGAAAGAAATACGATCGCCCCCACCGGAATTGAATGTCATCATCGCGAAGGAATTTCGCTTTCTGCGATATTGACAGTCAGATATGTTAGTAGCAGGGGATTCAAGTATTCTGAAATTCTGGACAAATCGCGATTTTACTGAATAAATAGAAAACTTTACCTCAAAAACCTGATTTACATAATCAATATCCATAATGAGAACTTGTAGAATGTAGACGAATATCTTTAATTTAAATTTTTTAAATTCAGTTGTATATTCGTAGTAGTGTTGACTGCGTATAGTTTACCCAGATATGTTTCCGTTATATGATAATGTCATATTGTAGTAAG